GTAGTTCATACCGTTGAATGTCTCAGCCATATCGATATCGTTTTCTGTAACTGGCCCGACGCCAACCTCCACCAAATCGAACCAACATTTCTCTGATGTGTAGGTACTGAAAACATCTAGAATTGCCTCAAGAGAGCCGTCGACATCGGCTATAAATGTGAAAAAACAACATGAAACAGACTTTATGAAACTTAAGAGTTAACACAAGCACCTTTAACAATAATCGCCAGTCTGGGACCATTCCGCATGCCGACCGCTTCCTTCCCACGCAAAATCTTCAATCGAGGATCTCGACGGAAAAAACCCGCTTGCAGACGCTTCATCCTCTGAGTGACATATTTATCACGATCCTCCTTTCGTTTCTTTTCGATAACTTTCTACTTGGAAGCACAACTTTATTGACTGACTATTTCAAAATGCGCAAAATATTTGTGCACATCACCAGCAGAAATACTATATAGAACAGACAGAAAAAATAAATAACTGCCGATACGGACTAACGAAACGGTTAAACTGTCAGTAGCAAATTAATTCAAGTTTACGTTTCCAGTTTATAGGATACCTTGCTTGATTTACCACTGCGAGATAGCCCTGTACCGCTGTTTTATGTCGCATGTTATGCATATCGCAATATTTCATTAAGTGGTGTGTTGACACAGTTGTTAAAGAGGTCTGCTATGAACACTGGAGGTGCGAGGTTCGACTACACTGGAGGGCAGTTTTTGCCTTATTCACGAATTCCTTTGAACAAGAAATTTACCATATACTGCTTCAGATCAGGGTTGCCCAGTCCGTAGGACGTCGAACTTCGAACCGACTGGTAATGAGTTCAAGTTCCAGTTTTTATTACTCACCTTTCTTCTTCCCGAGGTTGATAAATGAGCACCACTCTGTGGCATACACCGCGCTTGCCACGTGACTGTAAACTTTAACTTTCAAATAAGGCACTAATGTCTGACTGCACAGAAACGGAGATAAGTGCCGCAACACAAACTTCAGGAGTAGAAAGGCGCCAAAATGGCCCAATCACGAAACTGAAGGAAGATCGACATTCCAACGTTGATCAACTTTCCTTTCTATTCATTACATATAACAGTCTGGTTTACAAAATGAACAGAGTTTTGGGATCATAGATTTTCATGAAAACTCCGCCATGGCCGGTCCCAAGCCCGGATGAGAAAGGAGGAGGGTTGGAGACCGTGGCAAGTC